AAAATTGACCGAAATGTTAAGTGTTAAAGAATATAAAACATGAAGGTGCATCATGCATTGGTTGTATAATATCATCCACATAATACATTTAATCTTTTTTTTCTTCATATTATATTATGTATCTCACTGTTGCAAGTCTTTGTTAAATATTGTTAGAAACTTGAATGGAATATTTTTCTCATGGTGGCTTGTCAAAGAGAAAATGAGCTTACTTTTAGTTAAATGTCATTCAGTTCAAATTTCTCATATTCATCACCCCCTTCTACTTGTTACTCTTGCAGTCATCAAACTATTAGAAAACTCTTGCCAATGAGATATGACCTTAATTATGTCTTTTTTGTTTTACTCACTCTTGCGAGTCTTTGTTAAACTTTGTTTAACTTGACCAAGTAATGGAACGTGAGATTTTTGCATAAATTCTTATACAAAAAATGTCATTGTCATGTTATTTCAAATAAAATTTTGAGTAATTCTATTTATACATCACTAACCCTTTTAGTACACACCATTAACCGATTAAATTTATATTCCAATAATATCCTCAAATAAAATGACCATTAAGGACAACATGGGGGTGTATTCCATCCATTCAATGATTTTATATTTAAAAACACAAAATATTCTTCACACACCATCATCACCTGTAGGGTTTAGGGTTTAAACATATAAATACTGTACTTTTTCATTATCTTCACAGTTAACACACTACACTCATGATATAATTTATTATCAATTAGTTCACTTCATTCGCTTCTTCATTGTACTTATTTCCCATACTGAAAACATTTTTACCATTAAAGATTTAGAATTCAAGAACATTTGAAATTAATTAGCTTTGAAGATTTGCATAACATGGATGACACTGAGATGGTTGATTCTAATATAAACATTGAAATGTTGATTTGAACATTGAAAATGTTAGTTTATTACTTAGCTTTTTGGCTTTTTATTTATTTCGTTCATATGTACGGAAGACGAGTTTGTTCGTCATGTGTTCAAATAACTAAAGTTGAACTTTTACACAATATTCTATTATTTATATTTGAACAAAACAATTTTGTTCAAATTATTAAGGTTGACCATCAAATATTAAATGTTCATACATGAAAAAATTGAACATTTAAAGTTAGTTCGGTTAAAATAAATTAAACTTTTATTCTTTGTTTAGATATAATTTTTTGAACACATTAAGTTTGTTCAACTTTGTATTCATGAATATGACTATTTTATTTATTTTTTATTTTATTTTATTATTATTATTTTTTAACGGCAAAACAATGGTGAGACAACGACAAAGATGAAGAACAACAATGTACCAGCGAGATGACAACGAAGATGGAGGTCTAATGAAACCCTCTGCCGACAATGGAGTTCAACACTGACAATGAAGATCTCTGAAGATGGAGGTCTCTGTTCTGAAGATGAGAGTTTTTGGTGTGTATCATGGTGTGTATTCAAAGACAAGTGGTGTGTTACCATAGAGCCAGTAATGGAAAGTTAAGAGGTGAACTAAGAAATTTTTAAATCTTAAAAATTATTTTATATGTATACTAAGTAATGGTATGCATTGAAAGAATTAGTGATATGTAAATAGAATCACCTTAAAATTTTCTATAAAAATCTCTTTGTCATTTAATTCTTCGTGGAATACATAGGGAAAAATTGTGAATCAATAGTGCAATGACAAGTGTTGCATAAGTATTGTATCCTTTTATACAATTCATTATTAATTCCTCTGAAAAATATAAGTGACCCATTTACATGACAAATTAGAGCATCTCTAATGGCAAATGCTATAATAGTATTTGTCATTGTTATAATTTGGCAATAAATAATAGAAAATTGTCAAATTATAGTAATGGCAGTCCAATGGTCACATGCCATTTTAGCAAATTTCTACTAACTTTCCCTCTAATTTTGTAAGTGTTGTTTGGATATAGATTTTACAATGATTTTTTTATTGTTTGTTTTTTGTCTTTTGTGACATTTTTCAAACTTTTCGAAAAAAATTAAATGTTTACATTCAACCCAACTAGACAAATATAAAAAATAATAAAATAATAAAAAATTGAATTTTTTTTAAATATAATTCACCTCATCAAAAAACATACCACTACAAAATTAAAAACCCATCCACCAACAATCACCCAATATGCATTCACCAACGACCACCCACCAACAACCACCCATTATTCACTCACCATTCACTCACAAACAACTATCTACCAACAACCATCTATTATTCACCTAACATTCATTCACCAACAACCACCCATTATTCATCAACCATTCACTCACCAACAGCCACAAACCACCAACCACTAATTATTCACCCACTCATAGGGGTGTAAATTTGGCCCAGCCCGGCCAGACCCATGTCAAGCCTCACCAGTTCCCACCAAAATTCAAATCGGGTTAGCCCATGGGTCAGAAAATTAGGCCCAGGCTAAGAGGTATTCGGGACTTGGGTGGGTTGGTGGGCCTGGGCTTGGGCTTGGGCTTGGGCTCGGGCAGGCCTGAACATATTTTTTTATTTCTTGTTATTTTTTCAACCAAAATTTTATTATTTTCCACTAAAACAACACTGGGCCTTGGGCAAGCCGGGCCTTGAGTAGGCCAATGGGTTGGCACACGGGTCTAGCCAGGCGAGGCGCGTCGAGCTGGGCCGGGCTTCAAAATGATAGCCCAGCCCAGGCCTACGGTCTCGGGCTGGGCTCCAGCCCAAACGGGTCGGCCCCACCCCGGGCCACGAGCAGGCTGCGGTCCACCCACTGGCCGCGGGCCATTTTTACACTCCTACCTGTTAGGTTTTTATTCTTGGCAATCCCGTTTGACAAAACTCCTTTCAGTTGTATTTTTATTCGATCTTTTATTTCAATAAGGCTTTGAGTTTTAGATGCTAATCCAACCCTAATTGTTTGCGGAGATGTTTCAGAAGTTAATTGAAGTTTATTCTTTCATGTTTGCCACTTCGCTGACTATGTCGAGAATTGAATTGCCCGGTCAGCTAGCGAGGGTCCAAGGGGCAGCGCCCCTTGGCGGGTCCGGGGCAGCGTCCAGGCAGGCTCAAGGGGCAGCGCCCCTGAAGCAAAATGCAACAATGTATTCGAAGGTGCTTGTCTGCTCGAGCAGTCGTTTGTGCCCTCGAGCGGAGAACGTTTTGTTCCAGAAGTTTGACCTGTCTGCAAAGTACTAGAAGTTGGGATTTTACGCTCAAGCGAACTTTCCTGCACTCGAGTGAGGTCTGCTCGAGCGGCCATTCCTGCGCTCGAGCGGAAAGCACGATTCAATTTTCTATAAATATGTGTTTTAGTCAGATTTTAGGGTACGACTTCCATATCTTCTTTGAGGGTTCTAGGGTTTTCCTCTTCGGCTATTTTGCTAGTTTTCTTTGATGTTTAATTGAGTATTTAACTCATGGTTTAAGAACTACACATCAAAGGATCGTTTGTTTAGTTTATACAAAAGAGAGAGTTGTTCCGCGGTGGATTCTGTGGAATTTGGGCTTGAAGCTTTGGTGGATTCTTGAGTGGCTCATCGTCATGGATTTGACATCTACGTTGTGGATTCAACATTGGGCAAGACAATTTCGAGGTGAAGACTGCGGTGGAAAAGGCATATAGGGGTCGGTTTAATTCAGGCGTGGATTCGCTAGGTAATTGAGAGTACATTTATGTAATTCATTTTGTCTTCTTAGTGGATTGTTTTGTGGCTTGGGCCCGTGGTTTTTTATCACAATTGGAGACGCTGCAATTGTGATTTTTGCACGTTAAAGTCGTTGTGTCGATTTGTCTTGATTGTTTGATTGGGCTTGTTATTTACTGCTTAAAATTGATATATAATTACAAATCAATATCTAGGGGATTTCTAGATTTTTCAATTGGTATTAGAGGAAGTCGCTCTATTTTTTTTTAAAAAAAAATCTTTTAGAGTAAGATCTTGTTTGATTTGTGATAATGGATTCAGTTCGTAAGGAAAATTCTGTGGTTCGACCACCCCTACTTGATGGATCCAATTATTCTTTTTGGAAAGCTCGGATGAGATCGTTTTTGAAATCTATGTCACGCCCCAAAACATCACTTAAACATTATTGTTCTTGCATTTTTAGTTGCAAAGTTAAATCAAAAGCTCTTTATTGAGAGTGAATTAATTCTACTAATTTTTTTTTTCTTTTTCATATATAGATAAATAATTTCTAGGAAGTATAATGAAATAAACAATCCAATATATCCACAAGTCAACAAGAAAATATCTATTCAAATTCTAGAGATTTTAATATTTGAGTAAAGTTAACAAACAATTGAAATAGAAGTTGAAATGATATAAAATCTAAAGGCATCTAGAGAGAATATCAAGACCTAAGAAAGTTCAATTTTAAAATGGTGAATTGAATTGAACATACGTTTGTTAAAGTAAAATCAATTACTTTGGGCTCTCCACTAACAAAAATAATTTTATTTTTGGACTTAATAAGTAAAGTAATTGGGGTCCTCTACTAATAAAAACAGTTTTGTTTTTGAGTTTAGTGTTGGGGCTCTCTATTTAATTAAGGTCTAATGAAAAAATGAAAATAAAAAACTGGGTTAAATTTAATAAGTCCAAATCTAGCAGGTCGAAGTGGCCATTTTTCCGGCATGCTCATTAGCCGGCCATGCAATATAATTGGCATAAAAAGGTAATTCACCAAAACAAATCGATACATTTCTTTGCTCAATTCAATAGGGCTTCCAAGATTAAGCTTGAGCATGTCATGGCTAGTACACAATTTGCATATTCATCTAATACTCTTATCTTGTTTGAGCATTCTCAACTCTGGCTTTACTGCTACCACATCCAGCTCCGGGCTAATGGGGAATGAGACCGACCGACTTTCATTGCTAGCAATTAAGGCAAAAATAGTTGAGGACCCACTGCATGTTTTGAGCTCCTGGAATGACTCTATCCACTTCTGCCAATGGCAAGGCGTTACGTGTGGCCGCAGGCATCAGAGGGTCACTGCCATGGACTTACAGTCCCGGGAACTGGTGGGATCGATATCACCACACCTTGGGAATTTAAGCTTTCTGAGGGAATTACTGCTTCAGAACAATAGCTTTGGCAATGAAATTCCCCCAGATATTGGCCGTTTGCCAAGGTTGCAAATTTTGCAGCTGAGCAAGAATTTAATTGGTGGCCAAATTCCTGTAAATATATCTCGTTGTGCTATAACCTCATTTACATCAATTTTTCACACAATGGATTGGTAGGGGAAGTTCCCGTGGAGCTGGGATCCTTGTCGAAGCTCGCAATAGTAAATATCGAGGCCAACAATCTTAGAGGGAGTATCTCTCCTTTCACGAATTTGCCATCTCTTCGCGACCTGTTTTTAGACAGAAACTACTTTGACGGCAGCTTTCCTGATGGTTTTGATCGATTGAAGAATCTTCAGATACTCGCACTCAGCGTAAGCAGGTTGTCCGGCGTCATCCTTGCGTCGCTCTTTAACCACTCTTCTCTCACAAGTTTTAATGTCATTGTTAACCAAATTCAGGGAAGTCTTCCCTGGGACTTGGGAATCACTCTTCCCAATCTTGAATTATTTGGCATTGCTGGAAACCAATTTACAGGATCAATTCCAGTTTCAATATTGAATGCATCTAAATTCCATGAACACGAATTGGATCAAAACAATCTTACTGGAAAGGTTCCTAATTTAGCAAGGCTGTAAAACCTCAAGTGGCTAACCATCGGGGACAATCAGCTTGGTTGTGGGGAAGCTGATGACTTGAACTTTATCCACTCTTTGATCAATGCTACAAATTTACAGTATTTGAACGTGGGCCTAAACAATTTTGGCTGCAAGATTCCAGAATCCATCAGTAATCTCTCGAGCAATCTTAAACTTTTGAGTTTAGACAACAATCAGATATTCGGAAGCATTCCACCCGGGATTGTAAATCTTGTTGGCTTGCAGAGCTTGTATATGCAGGTTAATCAACTCACCGGTACTATTCCAAGTGGGATTGGAAAGCTTCAAAATTTGCACGAATTGAATCTCCTCAACAATTCATTGTCTGGTAACATTCCATCTTCCCTAGGAAATCTGAGTTTGTTAAGTAAACTTGTTTTAGGACTAAATAATTTTCTGGGAAACATTCCTCCGAGCCTAGGGAATTGTAGTAATTTGCAAAAGTTGCTTCTTTCTCAAAACAACCTTAATGGTAGCATACCAAAACAAGTTGTTTCTATCTCATCCTTATCTATATATCTAGACCTATCCCAAAACCAATTGAGTGGTTATCTTCCCATGGAAGTTGCAAAGTTGATAAACCTTGGTTACTTGGATGTCTCTAAGAACCTGTTATCAGGTGAAATTCCGAGCACTCTAGGTAGCTGCACAAGCCTGAAAACGCTACGTTTGGGGAACAACTTTTTCAACGGAACCATTCCTTCTTCTTTGAGTTTCTTGAGAGGCCTTAGTGAGTTGGATCTTGCGAATAATACCTTGTCTGGTGAAATTCCAGTGTACTTGAAGAGCTTTATTTTGTTGCAAAATTTGAATCTGTCTTTTAATAATTTTGAAGGTATAGTACCAACACAAGGTGTATTTAGTAATGCAAGTAAAATATCAGTAGTGGGAAACAGTAAGCTCTCTGGGGGGGGGGTAACTGAATTGAAGCTACCTAAATGCAACTTCAAAGTGGATGAAAATAGGAGATCAAACAGTGCCTTAACTTTAGCACTCTCTATACCCTTTGGGCATGTAGGACTAGCTCTCATGGGATGTGTTCTCTATCTTTGCCAGTTCAAAAATAGAAGAAAAGATACTCCTTCAGATTCATCAAAAAATTCACTCTTGAGGGTGTCTTACCAAACTCTTGTTAAAGCCACTGATGGCTTCTCATCTTTCAATTTAATCGGTGTTGGTAGTTTCGGGCTGTGTACAAAGCAGTTATTGATGGAAGAATTTTCGCTGTGAAGGTACTCAACCTTTTGCGACATGGAGCTTCGAAGAGTTTTGTATCCGAATGTGAGGCCTTGAGAAACATCAGACATCGAAATCTTGTCAAATTGGTAATAGCATGTTCGACAGTAGATTATCAGGGTCATGACTTCAAGGCCTTGATTTATGAGTTCTTGGTCAATGGGAGCCTTGAGGAGTGGTTACATCCAAATCCCAATGAAGATTTATCAAATGAAGAGATTAGGAAGTTAAATCTTTTTCAAAGACTAAATATTGTCATTAATATTGTTTGTGCACTAAATTATCTCCACAACCATGGTCAAACACCAACAATCCATTGCGATCTTAAGCCAAGCAACATTCTTCTGGACAAAGATATGGCTGGGCATGTAGGTGATTTTGAATTAGCAAAATTCTTTGCAGACCATGCCCCCATGACTTGTCTACAAGTGAAACAAGATCTATTGGCATAAGGGGAACAATAGGTTATACTGCTCCAGGTTAATATGCTTTCATTTATTCTTAATTATTTCATGCACCAAAAAGTGTAAAGAAAATTACATGTGTGATTTGGGCAACACATTATTTTTCTATGCACTATTCTTTGACTTTTTCTGTTTATGAAGCATTTCTGTCTTTTATAACCAACATTTTGTTTTGCCCTTTACAAATGCATTTTGCTTGCAGAATATGGTATGGGAAGTGAGGTCCCAGCGTATGGTGATATATACAGTTTTGGTATCCTCATGCTAGAAATGTTTACTGGGAAGAGACCCACAGATGAAATATTTAAAGATGGTTTAAGCCTCCATAACTTTGTCAAAGAGGCTTTGCCTGGCAGTGTATCAGAGATTTCAGGCCCAATACTTTTTCAGACCGAAAGAGAAGAAAAAGAAAACATCATAAGGAGTGAAAAGATTGTGGAGTGCTTGAGTTTGATACTTGAAATTGGAGTCAATTGTTCTTCAAATTTGCCTAGAGAAAGAATGGAGATTAATGATGTTGCATCTAAATTGTATTTCATCAAAGACACTCTTTTAGGATTTGAAATACATTGAAAGAGATGAATTTATGAGGTAATCAATTGGAATGTAATACTTTTGTCTTTATGATCTCCTTTCTGGAAGAGATTACATGTTTAATAATAACCTTACTTTCACATTGGTTGAGCTAACTATGCATTGTAGACTTTCCCATTCAAAAAAAGTGTTAGAATTTGAAATGTATAGACATGATTTATTTTGAGTGTGATTCATATTACACCAAATTTAATATCGGACAATCTTCACTGTATATAAATAGATTAATTTTGTTTGTGTACTTAACAACAAACAGAATATAAAAGAAATAAAGGAAATGAGAGAAAATTGTTTGATTACAAAAATCAAACTAGAAATAAAATTAAATAAATAAAAACGGATTTTATTTTGTTACAAAAACAAAATTAAAATCTGATTTAAATAAACAAATAAAACAGAAAAATAAATTAAACAACTTACTTGATTAATTTCTTTGAATAATAATCTTATCAAGTCCAGTGTTCGACACTGTGTCCTTAAGACAGATTCGTCCTCTCCACGGTGCTTTCAAAATACGGACGTCTATCCCCCAAGATGAATGGTCACCAACAAATAAATGCAGCACTACAATTTATTTGTTCAACGAACACACTAAGTGTTTATACTCACTCTTTCTGACAGGAAAAATAATAGAATAAATGCTGCAAAATGCAGAGATGAAATTGCAGCAAGGATGGATGAAAAATTGGTCTGTAACATCAAATGAGGGCTGCCTATTTATAGATGGATTGGTGGCTGCTGGTTTTGAATTAAACATGTGTAAACCCGTTTTGAACAAGTACTGAACCTGTTGGGTTTTGAATTGGACAAATAACCGAATCTTTTTGAATTTGAAAAATAAACAGAATTGAAATCTATTCGGGTGGAACATATTCGGTTTGGACGGAATCTTGTAGAGAGGTGCATTACAAAATTTGAATTTAATTTCACACCAGAATTTTGAAATAAAAACGGACATATTTTTATTTCAAAATAAATAAAATAAACTCAAAAGTTTTTGGCCCAAAAAGATTAATATTGGGCCGAACAAGCCCAACCCAACCACACACCCGTGCCCAAGCCTAGCCCGCCCGACCGGCCAACGGCTGCGGCGTGCGCGTGTCTGTTGATTTTTGGGTTCAATGGGTCTAGTCCATTTTGTCCATAACCTCTCCCTTCTACAAACTTGGGGTGCCCCTTGGGGCCCTCCCCTAGTTATAATTCCAAGCTATATAAACCCATCCAAAACTTCCCACCAAACCAATGTGGGACAAGCCAATTTCCAAACCTTAAGAAAATTTCTACCAAAAACTCCATTTCCATGAAGCGCACTTTGGCTTCAATTTCCCATTCACTTGATAATGGTTTTGAGCAACCAAATATACCACGTGAATCACAACGTGACATAGAACGCGTTACCACTTTGACTCACGAAAATCGACGCACGGGTCCCACCTAAAAATTAGACCAAAGTTAGGGAAAAATTCTGTTTTTACCCAGAATTTTTCCAACCATTTCTAACAATCCCCCACATGAATGAAATTTGATGACAATGGAAATGCAACAATATGCAGAATTTGTCGAAAGAGTATAAATCAAAAATATCTTACATCAAGATAGGTAGCTTATGGCCTTGAACCTTCTCTAGTGATAACCTATCAGACTTACTAGCTAACCAACGGATGTGATGCCTTGAATTGATAAACCGTTTGTGTAAGCCAGGACAATAGATTTCACACAAAATATCTTCTAACACATCGTGGTTCTCACTGTTGTGTTCATTTTGGCCTTGAATGCTCCTGGTTTTCATGAGTGTTTGTAGAGAATTTAGCCTATTTCATTCTCATAGAACCGGCCCCAATTCGACACTCATATAGGTGATTCTTATTGTGATTATCTCCTTATACTCGTCTTGATTTTATGCCTTAATCAAGATATAAGTAATCATTAAAAGCAAAGCTTATCCTTATGCCCATACATACAACATATGTTGCAGATATCACTCTCACCATAGGAATGGGTAGGGAGTTTTTAATCCCTTGGTGATTTCTGGCGAGCCACACATAACTTAGTTGTCCCTTTGAACTTAGTTCTTCGGATCTCCAGTCATATAAGTAGGGTTGCCATTATGATGACTCTTATGTAATAGGCTTTAATCCCATCCCCTTCGATGAACTATACACTTGCTCTTTTGTCAAACCTTTTGTTAACGGATCTGCAATATTCTCTTTAGATTTTATATAATCTATTGAGATTATTCCATTTGACAACAATTGCCTTACGGTATTATGTCGACGACGAATATGTCGTGACTTACCGTTATACATATGGTTCTGTGCCGTGCCTATAGCAGATTGAATATCACAATGAATGCAAATAGTTGGCACAGGTTTTGGCCACATTGGAATGTCTTCTAAGAAGTGACGAAGCCATTCTACTTCTTCTCCTGCTTTGTCTAAAGCAATGAACTCAGATTCCATTGTGGATTGTGCAATGCATGTTTGTTTCGTGGATTTCCAAGAAACAGCAGCGCCTCTCAGAGTAAAGACATATCCACTAGTGGATTTTGAATCTTTAGTATCTGATATCCAATTTGCATCACAATAACCCTCGAGTACTGCTGGATATCGAGTAAAGTTCAACCTATGATCATGAGTAAATCTTAGATACCTAAGAACCCGAATGATCGCTTTCCAATGGTCTTCTCCGGTGTTACTAGTGTGCCTACTCAATTTACTGACTGCATAAGCTATGTCAGGACAAGTACAATTCATTAGATACATTAGGCTTCCAATGATTTGGGAGTATTTTAACTGAGACACTGCATCACCTTTATTTTTCGATAAATAAAGGCTGATATCTACAGGTGTTCTAGCTACATTCATATCATCCTTGATAAATTTATCAAGAATTTTCTCAATATAATGTGATTGAGATAATGCATATCCGTCAGATGTTTTAGTAATTTTCATTCCTAATATAACATCTGTGACCCCCATATCTTTCATATCAAATCTTTTGTTAAGCATCTGTTTAGTTGATTTGATCATGTTTTGACTGCTTCCAATGATAAGCATGTCATCCACATAAAGATAAACTATGACATATCCTTGGTCAGTGTTTTTAACATAGACGCATTTGTCACATTCGTTTATCTTAAACCCATTAGTAAGCATTGCATGATCAAATTTTTCATGTCATTGCTTAGGTGCTTGTTTTAATCCATAAAGGGATTTTACAAGTCGACAAACTTTCTTTTCTTGCCCTGATACTACAAACCCTTCGGGTTGTTCCATATAGATCTCTTCATTTAGATCACCGTTTAAGAAAGCTGTCTTAACATCCATTTGATGTATTTCTAAATTAAACAACGCTGCTATAGAAATAAGCATCCGAATGGATGTTATTCTTGTTACAGGGGAATATGTGTCAAAATAGTCCAGACCTTCCTTTTGTCTATAACCTTTTACTACAAGTCTTGCTTTATACTTGTCTATTGAACCATCTGCCTTCATTTTTCTCTTGAATTACATCCAAGAGGTTTGGAACCAGGTAGAAGATCCACCAATTCTCGAGTATGATTTTGCATAATGGATTCAATTTCATTATTAACACCCTCTTTCCACAAAGGTGCTTTAGGACCTGTCATTGCTTCCTTAAAGCTTTGAGGTTCATTTTCTAACAAGTATGTCAGAAAATCTGGACCAAAGGATTTTGATGTTCTCGCTCTCTTACTTCGTATTGGTTCATCATCAATTAAATCCTGTTGGCCGAGACCATTACTAGTCTCTTGTGTTTGATTGTCATTAGTCTCTTGACTTTATGTACAATCATAAGTTCTTTTCTGTGAACTTAAATCACGTCCTTTCTTGTAAGGAAAGACATGTTCAAAAAACACAGCATTCCATGATTCTATAATAGTGTTCACATTTATATCAAGTATTTCTTATTTATATGTCAAAAACCGATATGCACTACTATTCTGAGCATAACCAATAAACACACAATCTACTGTTTTTGGTCCAATCTTAGGCCCTGTTTGGTAGAGCTGTGGGAAACAGCTTATAGTTTATGCCTAAACAACTTATAGCTTATAACAATGAACATAAGCTGATTTCTGACTTCCAAAAAGCTATAAGCTATAAGCTATAAGCTAAACCAAACACATCAAAATAGATTAAATTAAGCTGAAAGCTGAAATAAGCTGCTTTTAAGTTCTGCCAAACAGGCACTTAGTCTTTTTAGGAACAGGAACTTGAACTTTTGCAAACACCTCCACACTTTTAAGTATTTGTAGGAAGGTGGTCGACCTTTCCATAATTCATAAGGAGTGTTGTTGGTTTTCTTGTGGGGTATTCTGTTAAGAACATAATTAGCAGACAAAATTGCATCCTCCCACAAGTTCTGTGATAAGCCTGAACTTAGTAACACGGCATTCATCATTTCTTTTAGGGTTCTATTCTTCCTTTTAGCAATTCCATTTTGCTGAGGAGAATAGGATGTTGTAGTTTGGTGAATAAGGCCATGTTGTGCACAAAATTCATTTAATGGTGCATCATATTCACCACCCCTAAGCAGACAAAATTGCATCCCCCCACAAGTTCTGTGATAAGCTTGAACTTAGTAACACAGCATTCATCATTTCTTTTAGGGTTCTATTCTTCCTTTTAGAAATTCCATTTTGCTGAGGAGAATAGGATGTTGTAGTTTGGTGAATAAGGCCATGTTGTGCACAAAATTCATTTAATGGTGCATCATATTCACCACCCCTATCACTTCTAACCATTTTAATGGTTTTACCAAGTTGATTTTCAACTTCTGTTATATAGAGTTTAAACATTTCTAAGGCTTCATCTTTCCATCTAAGTAAGTATACATAACAATATCTTGTGCAATCATCGATAAATGTTATGAAATACTTTTTGCCTCCTCTAGTTTGAACAACTTTAAGATCATATACATCTGTATGAATTAATTCTAGAGGTTCGGTTTTCCTTTCA